AATCAAAACAGAGATGGCTTTCTTATTTCGTCAATAAATAGGCATGAAATATAGCGTACTGTCTGATTCTACAACCAACGTTCCCTTAAAACGGAATTTATATAGTTAAAAACAATCAGTTCACATGGCAACAACCGAATTTGTAGGCATTATATATATATATATATATATATATATATATATATATATATATATATATATATATATATTGGAACCAGCGTCCGCAGCTTGTAGTGAAGATGAACAAAACTTTACTGCTCAACATTCGAGGAAGACGCGTGCCACTGTATCAGCGGTAACTTCCTTTGGTGGATACTGCTTCTGAACATCTGTGAAACGGTCTGTACACGTTAAAGCGTAAATGTTCATTTAAATCTAGTAAGTCAAAACGTGCGTCGGAAGTTTTAGAAGAGCGAAAAGGACATTCTTTGTGTCTAACAACCATTTATTTTTGACAGTTTACACGGGAGTGTACCTACTTCTTTACGTCTTTACCCCTACCAGGGTAATAAAATCGTTCTGTAATGTAATTAATGGTTGTTTGGACATCAGGATGCAAACGTTTGTTCAACTGTTTGATGACATTGTGCTGATGGTTTTTCGAAACTTTAGACGATCCCTATTTGTAGATCTGTCAGATAGTTGACTTCAAACAACTAAGTTTCTACATATTCTACCATAAAGTTCAGAATTTGTTTATTTTCTTACCTTACTTGAGTAATATCTTATCTGTAAACCCATGTTGTAAATTGTTGATAATGCCCGTAAAAACGGTATGTGCCTGCTATATTTTATTACTAATTGTAAGATCCAAACTAAGGTTTGGACTGATGGACAGCTGACTAGGTGGGTTAGATACGCTCCCTTGCCCGTTTGAAACCAAAACAAAGTAATTGGGTAAAATGGCGGTTCTATAATTCATCATAAATTTAAATGTACATTAGTACCTAAACAAATATGACCATTCAGTTATCCAACCAATAATTGTTCAACTGATCAAATCTAAATTACAATAAATAAGGAAGTTGATAAAGGATGCAAGAAAATTATCAATCACAACAAATAAATGTTATTCTATCCTGTTTGGATAGACCACGCACAGATTCGTTCAAAGATAATATTTAGTAGCTTTACAACACAGAGTGTTTCCAATTCTGGAAGAGTGCCTCAATTCACAACCGAAAATGCACAATGCCAGTCAACACAGGTAACGCAATCAAAAGGAGGAACAAACCAATATGGCTGACGCCAGGTCTAAGTATAAAGTAAAACAACATAAGTGCAGTTCAGGAAGAAACACGGAGACTTAGTGAAGGCGTAATAAAAATAAAAACTATGGTAAAATACAAATAATAACAATTCAAATGTAATCAAAAATTAACGATGTACAACTAAAGGGATCAATAGGAACAAAGTGCAAGTATATTCATGAAGAGATTTTCACACACACACAAAACTTTAAAAACGGATCTTACACTGATGATAACATCAATCATATTCATATGTAACTTATATTATCCCATGTTTCTATAATCAGCATGTCCTATTACATCTCAACCTACTTGAGTAAATTATTACAGCAAATGCTGTAAAATTCCTAATAGAGCATGATACACGCCATTTCCACGAGCATGAATGATAATTTTCAACATTGATTTGCAGTTAGGATGTTTCTCAAGTAAGGTTGTTAAAAAGATAAAGTCAATAAAAATGAATAGCAGTATATTCGTGCAAATATACTGACGAGTAATTAATTGGGCTTATGCGTTAGTATGGTTTTTATATTCTGTTTCTATAAAGGCACCGCATCCACATTGTGACCTGGAGAAGCACACAACAGATCTGAACTCGATACCTGTGTGTAAAAATTGTGATGTTACTAAGTATTTACGATATAAAACTGTCCAAGAAGTCCATAGACTAAGTATTGAGTCTTTCCAGTCTCTTGGCAGTCTGGACTGCCACAGAGACATATAAAACAGTATGGTTATAGGTTTAGCAATTACGTCCGATAGGGCTTCCATAATCCTAGGATGAATATCATCAGAACCACTGGACCTATCAGGTTAGAGTTGTCGAATTAGTCTTAAGACAGTACCTTGCTCAACATTTACAGGGTACATCAACAAGCCGCTACAAACACAGTTAACTGTTGGTCGTTCCTTATTTCTGATAGAAAGCACTACTGAAACATTCCGATAAAGCTTCAGCTTTTTCGGTATCAACTCTTCCCAATATTAGAGGATTTTCTTGTACTAAAAGTGATGGAATTCCATCACTACTCTGAGTTCGCCTTTTTATATACGAGAATAATCGTTTTGAACTATTCTTACAATCCTTAACCAAATGTTTTTCATATGATCGTCTAGTCTTACTTATTAACGTTATACGGGCATTCCTGTATTGTTCTAAATCAGTAGAGACGAACATATTCCAGTGCTCTTTCTTTTTTCTAAGAAGTTTTTGACTGTTTTAGTTATCCTTGGTGGATTTTTATTCGGTCTACGCGGTACCAGGTAAGGCTACGAGTTAAAGTAGACCAGGAATACGTTTTAGTGCGATGTTGACACAAAAGCAAAGATAATCGCAACAAGCAATGAATCACTACCCTTTTTGAAACGTACGGTTGTAACGACAAATACTTACTACAGTTAGTTTTAGTGTTGATTGGTTTTAATGCAACGTAAATATTGGATAGAACTCAAAATTTTCTCAAACCTTTTCGGGATTTCTCCGAAATAACTTGAAATTCCTGTAAGAAAATTCAGGCCAGAGGAAATTGTGGTGTTTTTGTCGCATTTCCCTAGAATTTCTCTAAGTGACAAAAGTTTCCTCAGAATCGGAAGATCAAGCTGATGCGCACAGGTTCATTAATCAGTGCAAAGTGCTGCATTAAATTATTGCTGTATTGTTCTCCTGCAAATGCCTTCTAGGTGTTTTGCTCATTAAAACGGTCTCATGTAGTTTGAAAACGGACATACGGCTTTTGATAACCAACTATTTTGTCCCAACTTTATATTTAATTAGTATCCATTTGTTAGTCATAAATTATGTTTCAACAATTGCGCAATATGAATTATTTGTTATATCATTTCGTCTAAGCAGCACCCTCATTAATTTGAAGGTTTTGAGTTGTTGAAAATAGTGAGTTTAATTGGTCATGTGGACCAAATGACTAAACACTGCTAACCTTTTTATGCACCATATGAAACGGAGTTGATTATGGGTTATCAGGTGGACGGATTTTTTTAGTCACTTTTAGAAGCAGCAACAACAAATACGTAGTGCACGAGTCTGTTTAAACTAAAGTCATGGTAAGCCTACATTTTGCCGTATAAGACGAACAGTTTTCTATCTTCCGTCTGCAGATTGAGGATAGAGTCTCGTGAACGACTGTTAGAACTTGCAGAAATAATACCAGTGACAACAACATAACATACTCACACCATTACATCTGTGATGCACAAAACATGACTAAACCCACTGACTACAATTACTGTTACGGGTGCTGGGGGAGTTTCCCAAAATTTGCTGTAGATGTCTTGGGATCGGAGGAAATTTAGGGATTTCCACAATCTTTGGACGACTTGTCATAGATAAAATGGTAGGGATGCCAACCTGGGTTATCTGTTTTTCGCAGTACAGAATCACATCTTTTACATATTGCTTTCTTACACAGAGTAAATAAGTCATGTCTCATAATTTGCGATCATTTATAGGTTAGGAGTGAAGCTACATCTAGGATTTCACGTGGACCGCCCTACAAGAGTGACTCAAGTTATGGAAGTAGCAAGATCTGGATTGTTTGGAAAGGCAATGCTCATAAACTATCCTTATCCTAAAATTTTGCATGTATTAAAACTTAACTGTACATTTGTGGACTTAATAAAATGTAACACTTTCACAGGAGTTAGAATAAGTTTATTTTTAGGCTCTTACTGACAACTCTTTTCCGTGTTATCACAAAGTATGATAATGCGAACCACAATGGCGCTAAGTCCCTTCAATAAATTGTCAAACACAAAGGAGTACAACTGATTGTCAATATGCATATTTGCTGGCTGAAAATTAAGTTATTTCACCACTCATAAAGATACATACTCAGTGGTTCAATGAATCTAAATTTACTTATTTCGAAACTACGAGAATCGAAAAATCTAAAGATTAGGCCAAATGTCCCATAAACAAATTCATGACTAATATACATTTCACAATTGATTGATCACTGGGTGATGATCAATGTCATGTGTGTCAAGTCCTTATTTAGTGCAGATCGAATGCTATCGACCATGTTGCAATGTGGCCGTCAGTCTAGGTGACTCGACATTGCGACAACTATATATTGAGATTAGATGGTGGTTGGAGGTAGTCGATTGTGATTACATCCCAGTCATACAGAATATCAGTCGCGGCCCGGATAGCTCAGTGGTAACGTCTCTGACTGTGAAGCTGAGTGACACTGGATCGAATCCGCCAGGGAGCACCAGTTCCCTCAAGATTACAGGTACACCTTGCTGACGAGTGCCAAGTAGCACCATCTAACATACATTTATATCTGTCGAATAAAAACTAACCGACTTTGACAGAAACACTGAGTTGGCATAATTAAGGTAAGATCAATCAGTGGATAGCGAGCCAAATAAATTGGAGTGTGTTACAAGTACCACTTAATGTCATAAGCTAACTGGTTTATACAGAAATAAGTTGGAGACGTTTAAGATAAACATACTAAAACAAAACTATTCCATAAAATCAATAGTGATAATAATCATAAACCTGATCATTTTTACTGATTAGAGCACGAGATAATCATAATCAGATGTTTAGTTTTTGATGAAATGATTAAAATTCTCCTATTAAAATGATAATAATAAATTTTCATAATCTTGACTACTTGATTTCTACTTTTTACTTTACCTTCTCTTTTTTTGTTAGTTCTCTACCCTTCCCCGTTATGAAAATAACAAATTACCAAGGTTATGAGAATAATAAAGACCTAGTAATAAGCAGAACGTCAAACATTTATTCATAAATCATACTACATAAAGCTGACTGCATTAATCAATTATGATTTATTAACTGTTGAGTAGAAATTATATATATATAAATAACAGTGAATGAAACACGTAAGTTTGCTCGAAAATAACAGTTAGTTATGTAATACTTAGGTTTTTCTCTCGTTAGCAACGAGTTAATTTAACCAGTCACTGATACGATACGAAAGAAACCAAAATCTTTGATGACTAAAATCTAAGACTTTAATGAAGGAAATTGTTTGTCATAAAAAAGGAGATTGGGAAAACTGTTTGCTATTGTGAAAAAAAGTTGATTATCTATTCGTTGTTTAATGAGAAAATTATTTATAATGATAGCAAAAGTTTACGACGAAAAACAAAAATACGTTTAACATCCCGGTGATTGTATTAGCATACAATTTCTCTGTGATGACCGATTAACTATTGCAGATACATTCCCATTTAAATGATCATGAAAGCCAAGTGGATTCTGACCATTACAACCACTAATATGGTTAGATGCATTAGAAATGGAAATATCACTATTTTCCAGTTTGTTTGGATTATCTTTAATATTCCCTGTAACAGAAGAGGAAGGTAAACAAGAGAGACTATAATTTTGTAAGAGAGCAAATCGTGCACGAGTCGGACATGCTCCAGTTAGCAAACGATGAACAGCTTCCGCATTTCGTAACTAAAAAGAAGCAAATATTGAAAGAAAGAGAATAAATGTGGGGATAATAAGTATGATCTTAATTTTACAGAGAACCAATGTTATCATGTATGACTTGGATTAGCCTCAATAAAAGATTGTTGGTTCGTTTAGTCCAGCGAAATTACGTCCTCTTTTTAAATGTTGAGATGATTTCTTCATCCTCGTAGTATATCACTAAAGTCAAGGCAGATAATACTTTGCTCCCAGGTCAAAAGAATCACAAGTATATATATATATATATATATATATATATATATATATATATATATATATATATATATATATATATATATATATATATATATATATATATATATATATATATATATATATGGTTACTGTACAGATTAATTTGTTTTACCAACGCAGCTCCTAAAACCAACTAAAGTTTTCTGTTCCTCATACGGCGAACCAGTTGGGTAATTAAGACGAGTGAATAATTTGTTGAATAAGTGGCAGATCACAACATTTTGCATGATATGCGGCTACCAACAGCCATATTTGTCAGAGGACAGGTCAGACCATACTTGTAACTAGCTTTCGTAATAAACGATGTGTGACGTATCCATCGTTTTATATCCGATTTCTGCATACTACTAATGAATCACATATTTTAAGTCACAAACAGGTTTCAGTTAGAAAACCATGCGAAAGTAGGGAAAATTCGACAGCTGTTTCGTCCCAGTAAGGGACTTCAGAACAGTGTATAACCACAATCTTGACGAGGATTAAACCAAAAACCACCAGACCTAGAGATGAGTGCTTAACCTACCAACAACTAAGCCAAGATCTAATGGTTTACATAGTTTAACTCCAACCAATTCTCTCTACTACGCAACCACTTTCCATTGTTTTTGTAGGTATTCAAAATGGTTTCTCATGAGACATGTGGTCTGGTATTGTACTGGCTGAAAACAGAAACTGACAAGTCGATCAATCAGTCCCATTAAGTTACAAAGCGTTGTTTCAAAAAATCATGTGGATTAGAGGGACTCAATACACAATATGTAACCCAATAGTGTTCCCTATAGAATAAAACCAAATAGAGTAATAGTTTAACAGATGATTAACTAGTAATCATTTGTAGCCCGCAATTCAGCTTATGGAGCGATCGTCAAAAGGCCTGAAAACACTGAGAAACATTTTATCTAATCAACGTTGAATAGAAGTTTCTCAGAAACATCTATAAAGTGCAGAGTCGTGTGTCACATTTTTAACTGGATGATTACCTATCTTGCTACTATGCTTAGTATAGTTTCAGAAACTTTCAGAAGCTCAAGTCTGAATAGATAGTTTATGGCTGACAGTGAAGTACAACACACATAATTTGTTTTACTTGAGACTGATCAGCTAGATATACCAACAAAATGTCTACGTTGAGACGACCAATATAAGAATGAACATTTAACAAAGAACACTAATTAAAAGTCAGTTTTGAATATCAATGATAAAGTAATTGAAACTTTTACGAATAATGATCTAAAAATTAAGTTTAATTCATATTGTAATTATGTAAAAGTAAATTAAATTATTAACTTTAACCAACCTTTACTCTAATCCAATTCGATGCAGGCATATTAAAATAATCAACTAATTGATGCAATAAATACAAAGCATCATTAAAACCTTGAAATACTTCTGTAGATCGATCTTTCATCGTTTTAGTTGTTATAGTCTTCATTATTTTATCATCACCATTATCATTATGATTGAGATTTTTTAATTTTATAATTAAAACGTCAATAAACCAACTAGTGGCGACCATAGACCAAGCCTTGAAAAATAAAATATGTTTGAAAAATTTATCTAATCAATTTAGTGTAATTATAATAATAATTATTATTATTATACTTGTGAAAACTTCAAAGTATTAGGCCCTACTTTGTGTATGTGTGAGTGAATGAGTGATTAGCGGATATTTTAATTTTATATAAAACAATTAAGAGACCGAAATAAAAACGATGATTGATATCGTCATTGAATTATAATTTAGGGGGGGGGGAGAGAGAAAGATGTCAAATTATGATATTAATTAAACAATTATCTACATCTAATAATAAACAATAAGTAAGTAAAATAGGCAATAATGAAATTTCAACATCAAAGCTTATATATACAATTCAACAATGTTAAGTATGTAAAACATATAATAATAACAATACTACACGTAAGCACTTCGAGTAGAAAAAAAATGTACCGTTCACTAGAGTTCTATGAAAAACATGCTATTACATTAAATATTACATCAGCGAAGGAATTAGAAAAAGTAGGTTGGATTGTATTTGTATTTTTCTACTATAAACTTGAGATTTTTCAATATACTATAAAAGTCTTAATGATACTATTTAGTTGAATGAGCAATATATATATATATATATATATATATATATATATATATATATATATATATATATATATATATATAGTACACAATATGTGTACTATATATGTGAAAATCGGACGTCTTAATCACTAATACATACAAAACAAAAATAATTTTTGCAGTTCAGAAACTAAGATCTTAAGTATGATAATTAATTACAAAACAGTAGTAAGTGGGAGATTGCCTAGAAGTTAAGGCATTTGATTTTTAATTATCCAGATTTGAGAAACCAAGCAGATATAACACGTTATCACCACATAATAAATTATTGACTAAAAGCCAAATACATAAATCTGTACTTGTTAAACAAGTTATTAAGATACATAAATAGAGGTTTTATTCAGTCAGTAATACGAAAATTGGCTAAGCCATATCCAGACAGCGAGATGAAATTGTCATGACAAATCCTAGGGTTTATATCTTTCAGTCGTTGGTGTAAGGAATGCAATTCATCAGTTCATTTTTGTTATATGTGCATCCTCAGAGGAGTGCCTTGGTATTAACATTAGTTACAAACACTTTAAAGTGTTTGAGGTACATATGACAAAAGAGGTTGGTTAATTGTAGTCTTCAACAACGCGAAGATCCAAAATCTTACAGCTGAATTATGGTAGACTCTCGTTGCACGAGCTTATAACTGTCTGGACTCAGTATTTAAACGGATATTGCAATAGTGTCTGAGGCTAAAATAATTAAGCTCCACTTCCAGAGTGAACACTAATTCTGAGATGCAGACATAATCAAGTGACCAGTCTCAAACAGAGTAAGATGCCAATCCTGGATTCCACTGCGAGCCACTATCCGACCTTGTTTAGGATTCCCAGAGTAGAAAACGTACTGACAGTATCAGTGGTGGTAGGAAAAATTAGGTAGCAACAATCCGACTCGAGAAGAATGGATTTGCAAAACCAAAAGTATAAGTATCTTACGACGAAGAGTGAATGCAACTGGATTATTGAGATCAATCCTGATCCACATGAACTAGGTAATCTAAACTTAGCAACACAGTTCAGTCCAACAATCAGCGATATCATAGGTTGATATCACGCCTTAAACTGGTTGTGCTTCGTTTTTTTCTAACCTACTCTTACACTAGCAATTATAGTGCGTCGTGGTAGTAGTGTAAAACACGACGATAAGCAGGAGGTATGTATTTTTATTGCGAGAAGCTACAAAGTATTTACATTATACATATACATAGCCTTCAATGGTCCATTTGTATCTTCCGGTGTGTTCTGCAATCTGAACTTTCTTCTCGACTGGCCTCCAAGTGTTCGATCGACGCCGTGCTGTCGATACACTGAAACTCTTCACTGTGTCTGACAATTGTTGCAACTTCGACGCTATGCTCCGCCACATACTACTTACAAACAACTTTGTGAGTAGCGTCCACTACATTGGTAACTGAGTGTCTAGAAGTCTACGAAAAATGGACACTAGACGGCAATCAGTTATGTATGGGAGGACGAGAAGCGATTTGTCATAGTTACTGAATGATTACCAATGACCAACAAATGTATCGAGTTTGAGATTCATTTGAAACAAAGAAATCATAACATATAATACTGCTTCCTTTTCAATGATACACCAATAACTCGATAATAGCTAAAATTATATTCATAGTAGAAAGAATTAAAAACGCAATTTGATACATGTTAGCGGCCAAACCAAAACGTGGCATCAGTGCTTGAAGTCACTAACTTCTAGTCTGAGCCATGTTGGTAGATGCAGACTACATGGTTGGGGTCCATATGACTATCGTAACCAATGGTTGGAGACTCTTGGTGACATGGCTCAGAATCGATCACAATAGCGTCGGTGTATACATTCTCTGTCTTCCCTTAAACTAAGAGATTAAAATCGCTTCATATCTTTCTTTCTATCAACTAATTCTTTCTTCCTGTACTATATCATTATTGTAATCTTTCTTTTATATATTATTACCTCTGAATTAACTACTTTTATGAATCCAGTGTCTATCTTGTTGTGTTAATGAGGTATGGCAACTTGGACCGATGCATATATGTGCCTGGTCCTACGTTGTAGCTGACTGACTGACGTGTTAGCGAATTTTGGCTAAATGGAATAATTGTTAACAGTAGATTATAACACCTAGTCAGTAAATTGTGTATTCGTACTCCTTCTATCATAAGCTTCATTTGACCTATTGGCCACTGCTATACGATTTACCATTCTCAATTTATTTCCGATTCATCAGTTACAGTATCCCACACTCACAGCCACTTTTGGTTTGATGTTGTATAATTATTATTTTCTATTTTATGGTGTGATACAGTCTGGTCTACTTGGTTATATCTGAAATATACGATCCATACAGCAGAGGCTGATATTTGTATTCTGTACTTAACGGGGTAGGCTAGGTAAGAGGTTTCTATACAGAAGACCAATAAGGACTCAGAGTTGACTCAAGGCTGCTGGAGCCGGTTAACGCATCATTGGTTCAGCACAAGGACAAGCTCATATTAGTCGGTGTTCTGATAGGCAATTTTGTCATGTGATAATTGATAGGGCCATAAGTCATAACAAGTTGAGGTAAATTGATCAATGACTAAGCGATATTTTATGATCATTCATGTATACAAATGAAAAATCTCAACAACAGAAATACAAATAATAAATTTTACAACAACAATAAGAACATACCAGAAAGTTGAATCGCATATAATCTAACTGAAGATCGGATTCAGAAGGTTGTTTATTAATCGTATTGATATTAGTCAAATTTCGACAAGATTTCCTAAGATTTTTTAATGAAGAACATACACTGTGCAGCATACAAGAAGATGATTTCCATTCCAAAGAATCAAATCTATGAAATATATAAAAATAAATCAATGATAGATTTAACTTAATTTGATCAATTTATAGACATATATAACGTGATAAAGAAAACTAAAAAGTGTTTAGGTTTGTCATTATCACTTATGAACCCTATTAAGGATAAAATCTGATCAGAAATACATCATAAAAACAACGAACAGAATATATGAAAAATAAAGCGAATCGTAATATTGATATAATGATTATCATGAACATATATTCTTTGAAGCACTGTTTACATGTCATAGAATCAACAAAACAGTTGTATTTACATTAGAAATAGAGTTTTTATCCATGAGAATAACTTAAAATAGTTGTAAACCTTTAGAAATCTATGTAGTTGAAATATATATACACCATACACTTCCACACAATATTAGTTCCTTAGAAAATGGATGTGAAAAAATAGTACGGAGTAGTTTGTACACACAACATAACGTCAGTTTTGGTGCAAATCCAATGAATTTTTGGTTTAAGACGTGTGTAATAGCATATACAGTTCTTCAAAATGATTTTTAGTTAATGCTGATAATAAATGGTTTTGAAAGTTCATGAAAAGGCTAAAATTAAAAAAAAAACAATTATTTACTTTTATCTTTAAATTTGTCCCCAAGTCTTTGTTCAGATCTGTTACTACCGAAAATCCATTATATAACTTATGCAACTCGCTATACAAATGTGGCTTACTGACCTTGATACATTTAATTTCCAACTCAGAGGTTAGTAGTACTAGATTTATGATACTTACAACAGAATCACAGAAAATGAGTATAAAATATTCTGAAAAAAAGAAGTGTGAAAACTAGTTATTGGAGGTTTGCGTGATGATCGCGAACAGTGGCTAGAAATGTTAGGTGATATGATTGAGAATTGGTCTCGATGTCAGAGATGAATTCACATTTTGACTTCCGCCATATATTGAGTCCCAATATTCATTCATGCAAAATGTTTTTACCCTATTTTCTTCACACCATGTTCTTAATACTTAATCTTTCTTGTTATCATTGTTGCAACATAATTTCAATCCTTTGGCTATTTATCTTGTTACTTTCATCCTGTCGAGGTAATGTGACATAGTTAATCGGGTCAACCCATACATATGCACTAGACTTTATGTTGATTATAACTAATGATTGGCTGACTACCACAAATACATTTTTAAACTACGTGTGATATAAACAATGCTGATAACTTACTTATTAATGATCGATAAAACTTTAACTAGATCACCCAAACAAAGACAGTTGAAAAGTGATTGAGGTGTAACAACATGATATGCTTGATTTGACTGATTTCTTGTTACTAACAATTTTGATGACGATGATGATTGTACAGGTAATGTCAATTGATCACACCTATATTCCCAAAGAATATTTAACATTTGAGCCCACCAGTGAGCACATGAAACTTGATCACTAGTTTCTTCTATAAAGAGAGAAAACATATGTGTAGAAAAAATGCTAACAAGAAGTATGTATTAAAAACTTTCAGTGTACATTTGAACTGTTAGTGAATAAAAAGAGGAGATTAATTACACCTACAAATATGGGAAAGATTTAAAGCTCAAGTGGATGATTTTGGTGGGTCGTTCTCTAATCATCCAACTAAGAGAAAAAACAACTAAATATTTGGCTGGTTCATATCAACACTAATGCTTTTGTATAAGAGGTTAATATAACAGTAAAAACTAATCAATTTTTTAGTGTTTGTATTTCATATTTACACATAGCTAAACTGCTTTTGTGGATTAATGCAATAATTTGAGAATGGTTTTCACTATGAAAACTATCAAGGGCCAATAGAATATTGTTTTAGCCTGGATCAAGATTATTAAAAAAAATAGTAATAACAATGAACCTTATAGTGATTACTTTAAAGAATTTTACAAGGTTGCAGTAAAAAGCAGCATCATGAGATGTGAACTATACTGAAGGAAAGAAACATGGAAATGAAGTTGGATGAAAATAACAAAATATCACAAACTGACTGAATTTGAAAACATGCTGGGTCCCGGACATGGTAGTTTTAGGAAGTGTTATAGGCACAAACACATGAGTTCTCTGTTTACATACATTTGGTGTTGTGAAGTAGGTTAATTAATAAAATTTCTCTTCTAACTCGCATAACTCCGCCTGTACATCTTCTAAGGCTACTACCGGTACCGGAGAGATACTGCTGTACTCCGGTCACGAAGAGGAAAATGTGCCACATACTCAGGGAGTTGCTCTGATGCTGTCCAAACAAGCACGAAATGCACTTATATTATGAGAATCCCATGGATCCAGGATTATCAAAGCATCATTCAAAACAGAGAAGGAGAGAATCATGATTAATGTTATCCAATGTTATGCACCCACCAATGATAGCAACGACGACAATAAAGATCAGTTCTATGAGAGGATGCAATCAATCATAGCGAAATGTCCAGGAAAAGACCTGACCATCCTGATGGCAGACCTAAACGCCAAAGTCGGAATGAATAACACTGGATATGAAGATATTATGGGACGACATGGAAAGACTGGGAGAGAGAGAAACGAAAATGGTGAGAGATTTGCAAACCTATGTGCATTCAACGAGTTGGTAGGCGGCACAATATTTCCACACGAACGCATGCAGAAAGCTACATGGATCTCACCGGACGACACCACGGAGAACCAGCTAGATCATATTTGCATTAGTAAAAAATTCAGGAGGTCAATGGAAGACGTGAGAACGAGGAGAGGAGCTGACATAGCTTCAGATCACCACCTAGTTGTAGCCAAGATGGAACCGAAGCTAAGAAAACACTGGACAAACAGCAATAAAAAGGCTCAATACAACCTTTCCACGAGATACTAACAAACTCAACGAATTCAAGATAACTTTCAAAACCAGACACTGAATGACAGAACAAATTGTTCTTGATTCAGAGTATTATCTTGTGAACATTGAAGTACATGTTCGATGTTAGTGCTTCTATTTAGTTGACGTCAGTTCATAATGAAAACTGCCTATGAGTTTGTTCAATCTGTTTATGTATCCATGTGCAGCATTGTTAACACTCGCTTAGTTTTTATCAAACCAGTCCACATCAGCTAATATATTAATAAATCTACAAATCATAAATGTAATTCATTTATCACATCTTATTACTATTCTTATCATTAATTCTGTATTCATATTTAGCTTATAAACTATTAAATCTAAGTTAAATTTTACATTACAATGTGACATTATGTAGAATTCCGTTGTTGAAATTCAGAATTGACTTTTATAATACTCTACAAGCATATGTACTTCTAACAAGTCTCATAAAGGATAAAATACGCGTTTTGGATTCATCTGTTAGTCATGATATAAAAACGCGGTTAATGAGTTATTGTAGCATCCCTCAAGAATAAAGGCGGAAACGTGGTTTCCGAGTTAAGGCTTTTGATCTGTAATCCCAAATAATCAGATTCAAGCCCCGCTCCACTCACTTCACTTTGCGAAATCGGGTAATATCATTGGCTCTTACGCTTGAAATGTGACCCAAAAGTAATACCACAAATCTGTATTTCATAACGAGTTAATAATAATATATCACAAAATACTACTAATAATAACTAGTGGCAAGATAAATAAAAATAGTGTGATTCTAACGTTCATAGTTGATCATAACCATTTTGTTTCTTTGTTGGCTAAAATAACAAACTATAAATGGAAGATGTATCATAATAAAGAATGCATAAATTACTGAATATAATAACTGTGATAATGATGTATTAAAATAATAATAATAATAATAATAATAATAATAATAATAATAATAATAATAATAATATGAAAGATTATAGTGTTATAAGAAGTGAGTAGATAATAAAATGTAAACGTTGCATATATAAATATGCGAATGAACTAACCATACTCAATTTCACTAGTTCTGTAGTTATTCATATTGTATACATTTAATGAGGGTGATAATTGCGACAGTAGATGAATATATGACTGTAAACTTTTCACCTGATCAACTTTACCATACAATATAACCTACAAGTAGAAAATAAACGATGATAACATAAACCATAGAGCTACCAACTTTAAGTATGTCTTATTATGTGATGATACCTAAGCCATGCAACCAGAACTTACTTAGTTGGCAATTAACATTTTATACTTTCTAGGTCCAAAGTACTTTTGCGAAACTGTCCCTGTACTTATTTTTGGTAGTGAGCAGATAGAAGTAATCGAGAAACTTGAGTATCTGGGTAGCTATGTAAGTGCTGGTGGTAACGTGAACGATGAGATAGATTCACGAATAGTGAAAGCCAGAGCGACTTATGCTATTCCGGGCCATCTCTAGCGCCTTTCATGATGTTAGTCTGGCTGTAAAAGGTCAGATCTACAACGCACCGGTGGCAGAAGTCTTGCATTGTGATTGAGAAACCTGGCCTCCTTTAGTCGGTGATTTTAAGCAACTCAGTTTCCGAAGGACTGAAAACATTCAATGCTAATGTGGTGGGTGCTACCAACAAGATTGCCTGGAAGTAGTATGTTGCGGAACGTGGCCTCGAAGTTGTCACAGTAGTCAGACGGAGTGAAGAGTTTCAGTACATCGGAAGCACGGCGTAACATTTAGATCTAAATCACCCAGCATCTTCAAACATAGGTAGTCTACACCTCTAAAAAAAGTTTATTTCAACAATCATTGCTTTTGCTCGACCACCTTTTGGATTTCTTCTAAACTTCTCCTTCTCCAGTAAATACAAAGCGTCGAGGTAAGTAGTTATCGGACATTAGTGATATATCACGCAACCAACTTATTGGATGAGGATACAATAACCTAGTGAAGTCAGTGTGTAATACAAACTAATCAATTATAACATCAGATTATCATTAAATTTCAAACACAAGTCAAATTCCACCACCTAAAAGTGTGTATATGATAATATAGAGTTCAGTGTGAATTTCTGGAACGCACCAATTGTTTTATGAAGTCACGAATTCGAAAGCGAGAAAATCAAAGTTTAGAGATAATCGATGTTGACGAAGACAGATTCATATTTATTATTACAGTTGGAATTCAGTTAGATGAACTGATTGTTGTGAAATAACAAAGATAGAAAACTCTTTCATTTTGAATGTTTACTTAATTTGAGATTAAAAATTATAGTAAATCTTAAATATGTGAGAAATATAAAGACAAAGTCACAACGTAATGTCTTATATTTGATATTGTTTGAGTAATTAAGCATTAGGAGTCAGAATACACAATGTAGATGAACAGGTTGCACAAGTGTTTAAAAATAGTGGAGAGTATGTCGTTAATCTACCAAATACTTGACAGACGAGAGTTACCAAATCCAGATGAGGGGGGGGTCAAGTGAGTCAGTTAACCACAACGTTATGTGATACCAAAAAACAATTAATTAATTGCTTAAATTTTAGTCAGTCTAACTCAGGGTTGAAGATTCAGTCATTCGCAACGTAGAACGTGGTATGTATGTTCATCGGTTGTCGTATCTCATTGGGACGGAGAAATGAAACTGTCAGGCCAAATACCAGAATGTAGAGGCAGTAACAGTTTAACCTTAGCGATTACATGCACAGTGACAAACAATCCACAAGTACATACAGTATGAGTGATATCAAACGTTTATCCAGCAGAAGTTAATGATACTTTATGATGTGCTATTGCATTTATAACCAGAGCAGTATATTAGTATTTAAAGCACTCGACCTTTAATTAACAGGTTGTATGTTTAAAATCTCCCACATTTGTTAGATGATAAATGACAATAATGTTTAAAACGATGACCTGAAACTCTAAAAAAACTTAAAATATACAACTTTATAAGTAAATAAGATTCACTCTCAAAGGAATTCCTCCACTTAAGCCTTTATGATACACAGTGACAATTTGAATATAACAATTCAGTGTTTAAGTATAAAATATTCATTTGATTTCAATAACTATGTGATAGCATAGCTAGATACGACACTAAGTGATCTAGATTTAGGTTTTGTGAAAAAGAATGCTTTTTTAAAGTCAAAGATATATTAATGGTGATGAAGGATAGTAACTAAAAGAAGAACTCGACCACGATATAACCTGGTGAATTCTTTCCGATCTTTCAAGCGATTAAACGTTAGGTGGTAACAACACAAATGAACTGAATAATAATAATAAAATGAATACCTTTAAACAATGACAAGTAATATGCTCGCGTAATTCAATCAATATTTGATTAATAATGTTCTTTTCTGTATAATCCGCTAGTGACAGATTTTTGTTGGATGAATGGTCATGTAAACCAACTGCCTTTGTAGAAGATCTGGTCAATGATGATGATGAATAAGTTGTATTGATACCTATAGCGCATGAATTCAACTTTTTATTTGAAATAATTAATTCGATAAATGTTGAATTATTGAACCAATTTATCCATAAATTCGACAAACGAAATCGGAGAGTCACATGAACGGTCATACGAATGATCAGAGACTATTTAGTGCACGATTAAGAAGATATTGGCGCCATATTTACAACAAGAGAGTAGGGATGAGAGATTAAATACATTATATTAAGTAATTGAAAAAATTTTCTAAAAATATTAAGTCAATATCACGTGTGAAGTTATAAATGTATCATTCACATTCTTTGTGTAACCATCGTCTTCTTAAAGGCTCCAGGAGATGTGCTAACTATTTTGCTCTGGAGTGGTGATATGTCACCGAGACAAAACAGACTGAAATAATTAGAATAAAATAACTGATTGAATTCCTCACACGAATGAAGAAGAGCCATGAATTTAAAATACCAGGAAAACATGAATTGCCTGAAGTACGAAAATCAAGATTACTTCTTTGCCCAAATTTAGACGTCTCTAGATCCTTTTATTACTCCAATAGCAACATAGTTAGCAGATCTTCTGAAGCCAGTGAGAAAATTATTAACAAATAAGTGGTTCATTTAGCAAATTAATGTGGATATTTACTAGATAAACTGTAGTACACAGTTAACTAAAATTTATTACACACTATGGACTCATATAAAACGTCATAGATGGTATATTTTTTTTTTAAATTTCCTTATCGCTTGTCAGTACTAATGTCTCATATACTGTTTGTATCCAGATGAATGGGCTAAGTTCACTTAAACTGGTCTTCTGTCATTGCTGATAATTTGAAACGCTCACACTCGCGATTTACTGTGCCAGCATGTTGCATCCAGTCATCGTCTCCAGTTTTAGCCAACTTCAGACATTGGTAACGAATATTGAACAAAGATGACTGTTTACCGAAATTTACGACAAAGTTACAACCGTTGCATCAAATGAGAGGTCTCTGAGATTCTTGGGGAGAATAAACGCTGGTGTAGTGTTCATGTTCAGCTGTGGCAAGTTTGCGTAGCAATAATCTGACCTTTGCGATATCAAATTTTTCTAGGTCGACGTTGAATATATCTTCGCATTTCTTGAACCACGATTCAAATGTAACACCGGCCAAACCATAAAAATGAAATTCATGGATAGAATTAATAAAGTGGTCGACATGGGATTTGAACGGATCATCTGTAAGCCCTTTTTGATTTAGGTCCATTTGCTGAGTTAAAGCTTCTAAAGTACGAATCTGGAACTGTTCGTAACCTTTTTCTTGACGCTCCAGCAAGGCCTCAAATTGGTCAAAGGTAAAGGACATCTTGATAAGTTAACCCCGTCGCCAGTTGTTATATCTAGAGCTTAGTTTCTTATTATACGGCGTACAACTAGAGCACTCGAACGCTAGAACCCTCCAAGTTGCAAATGAGAAGACAAGTGAAAGAAATGCTATTTCAGTGTCATTTATGGTCAGTCAGTTAGTAACAACGTAGAACTTCGTGCGTACGTACATCAGTTCGAGTTGCTACACCACATTAGCACAGAGATGTAGTTGTCTATTCGAATCCCGTAGTAGTAGAGGTAGTAAAAGTATAAGTAGTAATCGGAAACATTATGGTTTGAAGATATTATTCAAGGAGTATAATACAGTGAAATAAATTTGGAAAGAGAAAAAAAATGGGGACATGAAGAATTCATAAGATTTGAATTTGGGAGAAAACAAAGAGTGAAGCCATGTCATTCAGGGTCTCTAACCATCGGTTGTTATCATCTCGCGATCTCAACCAGGTAGTCTACACCTACCAACATGACTCAGTTCACTTGTCAGTGACTTCATGGACTAGTGCCATGTTTCGGTCTGGTCGCCCCTAGCTTTCTTCCAACCTATGGTATGGTATGGTACAAAACTGTCAGGTATTTATAGTTTTTAATAAAAACGAAATCACCAATATAGTTTTCCAGTCCGCATAATGGGGGTTGTTAACGTTTGTTTAATAGGGAAACTACACGTAGGGATTCTGGAATATTCTTCCAAAAGATGATTGGATGGAATATTTACGGTTCTTTCTGAGCTTGCTCGAGTTCACCCGTGAACCGTCCTCATGGAATCAAATTAAGAAAAATTACGGAACGAATACAGATTAGAGCAGATATAACTAAAATGACTAAATAGAAAATATATTTAAACAATAATACACAAGTTAGAGATAAGAACGTCGACAGAGAAAAGAAGGGTGATTTGTAAAGTAATCATTGATTTTATAAATCATCTTGCCTCCTTTCAATTAATTCCTAATGCAAACCGACTTACTCCAGTTTTCATGTCATTACGTTCTCACGTCATCACGTTCGAGAATGCTTATATTACGATACTATCAGCTAGTCTGATCATTCAAAGTTAACATTCACCACTCCAGTGAATAATATGTAAGAATCCGCTATCATCTAATAACTGTATGTGATAAATTTAACAGGAAAAAAAAGAACTGATTACATATTAAACGATCAAAAAATTAATAAAATGTAATATTTCATTTACACCAAGATAATACATTCCAAGTTTTCGTTTTAGAAAGAGTCCAAGTGTTACACCTTGTCTAGGTAAAAGATTGATAGGTAATTTGTTATCAATAGCTGATGATATTCCTATATTTTGATTACTTTCATGTAACTTGTCGTTGGTACAATATATTTGTTGAGTAGTTAGAGAATGAAGAAAATCGTGAATACACATTACAGCTAGAGAGATACTATCCAGTAAACGGTTGAACTTAAAAAGTATAGAATTGTTTGTATTTGCTTTTTTCGGCACATAGTCTATGATAGAAAGAAACAAGAAAAGACAAAATAAGAACCAAAAAAAAACTTTTATTAAGAATACGAATTATATTATTATTATTCTCGTTTTTCTCTTTGTCCTTGACAAAAACTAAACAGTATCAGACAATGTAATTTAAAGAATGGAAAAAGAAACTTACGACTTTATTTAATCAACTGTATATGTAATTAATTAAACAAAATTAAGCCCTACAGAACAATTAATTATCAAAATATTAGCCGATTATTAAAAATATTATAATAGAAAAGAAACATTTGTGTAAAGAGACTAAAAAGAAAAAATATGGATGGCAAAATCGTTAGTATATAAAAGTGACTCTTTTGATGTCTTTTATTTCTATGAATTTTTATTCATATCTTTAACTTTGTAGGACTACCTATACTATAATTTGTCAGGATAAACAAACAGCTAATTAGTGAAGGCGTTTGAACTTTTTTTTGAGCAAGAACTCCATAATAATGAGTGACTTATCTTTGAACTACGCACTACTAGTATAAAAGGTGGTTTTATGAAGAAATGAAGAAGAAACAACATACTTACATATAACAAGATGATAAACGGAATATCACAAAAACTGATTACGTTTAATTTGTCCACCTAAAGGTTTTTTCAGCATTATAAAATCAGTTAGGATTAGACGAAAAGAGATCAATATACTACTTTGAACAAAAATTTGTCAGTAAAAATTTTAACTTTACAATCCTACATATTTCGACAAACTTGTGGAACTCCATCTAGAAACATTCGCTTTACTGAAAGATGGGCTTTAAAGGTAGAGGACATTTGCAATTAATCAGTATTTGATCGTAGGTATCTTCAAAGTACTGCTGGCATATATTGGGACCGCCAAGGAAGCAGTGTTGAGGATAGATGCAGAGTACTAGGCAAAGATGGTAAATCGGTTGATAAAGTAGTGAATCTATATTGACTGATGTGATTAGAACATGTTTTATGTACGCGCGACAACCGCCTACCACGATATACATTTCTCACTGACGTAATAGTCAGTTGAGAGAAAGCTGGAGGTAACTAAACCAAAAGATAACACCAATTCATAAAGTCATTGTACGTCAGTCTGAGATGTGTAGGTACGTGTAAATAACCTGGTTGAGATCCGAGCGATTATCGTAACAAATAGTTAGAAATCATGTGATACTACTCAAAGTTAGTGTCTGGCTTTAGATGCCAATTACTAAAATTATTTTTTATACCTTTAATTCTATGAATTAATTTATTCTTCTTGAATCATATTTTCCGTATTTAATATATTTCTGTATTATAACTGATACTACCACTTCTATGGTCTCTGTATTAATTTAGTTGTGCTGATGAGATGTGGTAACTTGGACCGACACACACGTGACAGATTCTGTGTCACTTTTAATTGACTTATTAGCTCATTAAAGACAGTTAATATTAATTCAACGCTGAACTAGTTTGGGAATAATTTTTATATATATGCTCCATTATTAGAAGGCAAAGCTAATCTTCCAGTAGATGAACTCGGAAGTACTCAATGATTAAGAAGAATGATGCAAACCAACACAAGACGTAATTCATACAATTGCACTTGATATTTTTTCCTGTTAGAAGTTAAGATACAAAGTTGTTAAAAAAATCCAATAATGCAAAGAGTTCAGTTTTTCTGAAAAACAGGTAAATTCGCGTTATAACTATGGACGACTGTATTTTGCTAATTCTCAACACGCTAATTAAAGATGAAACCAATAAACCCTAACAATTCAGAAAGAAAATCAATCGTAAAAAATCAACTAACTAACCAAATAAATATAATTCCATTAAGCGTAGACGAACTTCAGCTGCAGAGATGATACTCTTTTCATTAGAGTATGAATGACCACTGTTTATTATCGGATTAGGTTGATCCACCTTCTTTTTAAAAGAACACATCCAAAGCCAACAAGGCAATTCGATTAAAATTATACTAAGCAAGTTAATTCCGAGTTTAATTAGAAACCATATACATAAATAAATATATCGAGGAAAAGAAATTGTTGATCCAGATTGAGTCAATTCGCAATGTGTACTGTCAAGTAAATGTAAGCATTGCCTCAAGTGATAATCAGCAACAGACCAAGTCAGCTATAATTAATGATAAAAATAGGTTAGTAAGGATAATAATAATAATATGCTACATACTTTCTAAATCGTTACCCATCAACAAATCTAAACTGAGTTTGAAGTTAATGGACATAAACGAAAATGAATTACTGTACATAAAGTAGGCGAGGGTAAAAGGGAGTCGTCAGGTTATCTTGTTTTTTAGTCAACATCTGTTAGTGTTTTAGAGTGGCGAAAACCGTGATAACTGTTTATCGGTTCATTTGATTATTTAATTTCTTTACTAATATTACTAATAATGCTAATATTACTGTGTCCCAAGGTTATATTTTGTTACATAGTTTTTTTCTTCAAATTTCAAGCTTTCATTATCTTCTGACTTCTGCCTTCCTTCTATCGTGTTTAAGATTAATTTTGAAGTGTTGGGCGTCAGTCACGGTCTATCGACTTTATGCATATTTAGTTTTGCATTGAAAGGATGCTCTAATTGTTTTTAAAAAAGAATTACCCCAGACCAACTGTAGAAACTTAGCAAGGGCACCTTGACACAAGTCGCAGTGACCGAGTGGTCTAAGGAGAGTTCTTCTGGGTGTTATGGTCCACTAGGTGGGCGTGGGTTCGAATCCCACCTCCGATACATACTTAAGCCCCCAAATGCCCTGGTACGACCGAGGGTGAAGATAGTCAGCTCTTCCTCCCGAAATGCTCTCACATGGCCACAGTCACTGTCAGGGAAGTCCTATTCACTGCCTTATCGCGGCATCGCTGTTATTTACGAAGTTGAGAGGATGAGAAGCGAATATTCGGCGCTTTAACCGAGTTGGGAGACACGGAGAGTCCACCTAGGGGAGTTGGGAAACTCTGAATACAAACTAATGGTGCACATGGGCTCCAAGATCCTGAACGAACAAATGGTGTTCGAACTAATCGTTGGTTAGTGGCTACCATGGGACTGAATCTCCTAATGTTGCTCCACTGCTTTGTGGATCAGACCTTCAAGACCAAGGCTCCGGGTGTGGCCCCCTAAGAAAATTATCTGTTTCGGTCTGGGCATCCGGACAATATCACAGCTCACACAAAAATCAAGTGACTTGTGTGGCGCATGTGTTTGGTGCCCCTTTTTACTAATATTTATATGTTCAAATAAATAATAAATAAACAAATTTTAAGACCAATAAATTTTGAGAGCAGTTTATGGATTTGTAACAAATAAAGGAGGAATTTGAAATATTAAGAGAAAAATCCTGAAGCACTTTACAAAGAAATTTGCGCTTTTGATCACTTAACTATTTTTCTGGATTAATGATATCCGTTTTAGCCAGCAGATGAGTGGCTAGAATATTCGGTTTTCGAAGAGTAAGTCACATCTTTCGACCACATTTAATCAATTTCAGTATAGGTTACCTCTCACACATAAATGGACAAAGAGCATTACGAAGGTTCAATACAACCTTCCTTCGATATACTGACAAACTCAACGAATTCAAGAGAACTCTGAACAGGTTCCGAGCCTTACAGGATCTACTGAAAGAAGAAACCACTATGGAGGACAACTGGAAAGGGATCAAAGAAGCAATAACTTCAACATGTCAGATGTTGGGCTGCAAGTAGCATCATCATAAAGAATGGGTTTCTAAGGAAACCCTAGACAAGATTCAAGAAAGGAAGACAGCATATAACAACAGCCTAACAAGAGCAAAGCCAAGGCATAAGCTAAACACACAGAAGCAAACAAGTGAAGAAGAACATTAGAGTTGACAAGTATGAATACGTGGAAGATAAACGACACCAACCCTATCACAATTGATGGGGAAACTCTGGAAGAGGTGGAAAGTTTCATGTATCTGGGTATCATCTCCAATGAACGTAGAGGGTCTGAATAGGACGTAGAGGCGAGGAATGGCAAAGCAAGGACAGCATTCCTACAGTCGAACAACATATGGAACTTAAAACAACTGTCAGTCAAAATAAAAGTCAGAATCTTCAATAAGAATGTCAAGACAGACCTACTGTACGGAGCTGAAACGTGGGGAACTGCTACAACTATCATCATAAAAGTATAAGTATTCCTAAACAATTGTCTACACAAGACACTCAATGTACATTGACTGGGTACCATAAGCAATAACCTGCTATGGGAGAGAACAAACTAGCTTTCAATTGAAGAGGAAATTAGGAAAAGACGTTGGAATTGGATAGGATATACATTGAGGAAATACTCAGATTCTATCACGAGACATGCGCTAACCTGGAATCCTGGAGGGAAACGAAAAAGAGGAAGAACAAAGAACATACTACGTCGAAGATTGGAAGCAGACATGAAAAAGATGAATAGCAACTGGAAAGAACTGTCCAGGATACGACTGAATGGAGAATGCTGGTGAGCGGCCTATGCTCCTCCATGAGGGGTAACAGGAGTAAGTAGGTACATAAACCAGTATTTAGTAAATGGGATGCAACGACATTGAGCAACAGGAATAATCTTTAGAAATACTCAAAAGTTGAATACTATTATTGGCGACGACGGTAGAAATAGGTTTTAGAACACAACATTTCCAGATACACTATCAGTTTGATACTTTGACCAGTAGATCTAGATATAATATACATGAATATTCATTTACAAAACTAGTTTTATGTGTCTTAATAAAGTTATTTATTGGTGGATTTTTCATAATATATCTTAAAAATAAGTTTAAACACCGCGCAACTTTGAGACAGAAAAAACAACTTCAGTTTTGAGTTATATAAAAGCAATCCATAAGTAAAGTTTACTTATGACTGAGTAGTAAGACTAGCAGAATATAAAAATACGGTTGGGATATATGAGAGTTATTCGACGCAGCATCAGTCCATGAAGTCATTGATTATGGATCCTAGCCATGTTAGCAGTAGGTACACACTAATTCACAAAAGTCCTCTCGACAACGATGATCAGTATTTGGAGATGTTGGATGGTATTGACTGAAAATCGGTCGTAATTGTGCAAATGCATTTACTTATTAACTTCTTCAAGATAATGAATTCCAGTATTCTTTCATACATAACAGACAATCTTATCGTTTTGAACCATATTCTAAATGTTTAGGCTTCCTCATTATTTTGATTCTTTTTCTATCTATCCTGCTAACTTCATCTTTTTGTGCTGATGTGATTTGGGAACTTGAATTAATCCACATATGTGCTAAGCTCCACGTAGATTACGACTAACAGAGTCAAAGGATAGCTAATTCTGCAGAAATGATGAACAGAAATTGAAGTCTGAGGTGTAGACTGTTGGATTTTAACTCAGTAGTTTAAAGTTAACGTAGTCATTGTAAAACATGAAAAAACTGATTTTGATCAGTGATGAGTCCCAAAACCAAAATAAAACAACTATCAAATGTTCGTTTATTTGCAATGGTCTAACAAGAAACCCTATTGTAAAATCCATTTCCCATGTCATGTGATAAACATTTTACTTAACGAATGAACAGATGAGACTTAATGTAATAGATAAAAGATGATAGTACAACATCCGCCACACAAATACAGAAATAAAAAGTATAATTCCCAAACACTAAACCTTAATATTCGGTCTGTCTGAAGTTTGTGCTGATGATGTCGTTCAGAAGAACGATGAAAGCTCCACGACCAAACCATCCAGCTCAGAGAACAAAACTCCACCAAAATCATCCACCTGAGCTACAAATCTTCTCCACCATTCGGTCTGTCTGTTATGGAAAATAACTGAAGTTGAAAATCCAGAAATCATTGAATCTCAACTCAGTGATTTGAAGGTTAAGTGACCATTCCAAGACCTGTACGTCCCAAGTTTGACCCTCGGTAGGGTTTTGGATGGGTACTACTGAGGACTTCCATACTGGTCAGTTCATGACATAAACCATTAGAACTTCATTGTATAAAATTGTGCTTGAGTAGGGTTGGTATACTGAACTGAATTATTTTCATTATATTATACGTCAAACGACATAAATTCAACAACATGAAACAAGATACAGATAGATTTACTCTCAAATAAATAAAAACATTAATTCTCATGATAACTACTAGGTTATGTCAATTAATCCATGTGTATGTAACCAATGTGCTCAAATAGATAATTGAATCAATAGGAAAAGTATTTTACCTGACTAATAGCTAAATTAGCTTGTCTAAAATGTGATTTAACCTCGTACGATGAAATTGCAGTATTTCTTGACTTTGACCAATAATAACTATAATTAAAAAGATGGACATGTATGTGCTTTTTATAACAAGCCCATGAACATAATAATAAAGCAATACACCATTGTAAAATATACATTATTGATATAAGCCATGAACTAGGGATAATTGTTGCGATTATGTTGCCGCTTTTAGAAGTTGTGCTGGTAGACGTATCGAAATACGAGAGCAAAGTTCTAGCATTTGATATTTTATTGTCTAGAAAGGAAATAACAATCAAATAACAATAAATATATATATATAGTAATGCTTAGATTGTTTAACAATATACGAATGAATTAAAAGTGTAAATATTTTCAAAAGTTATTTTGTCTGATGAATCTTCCTAATGTGCATTGATTAGACGATTGGTTTACCGATACCTAACTTTTTAGTGTCTTAATTCTAATAATCTGACTGACCAAATGTTGTACATATCGTCTGTCATTTATTACCTGTAACAAATTAATCATAAACCAGTTAATTAAATTCGTACCATAAATATATTTATACAAATTTATTATTTATGGTGTACCATGGTCATGTATACTAAGTACAACCACGTGAGCTTTGATATTTAAATATTATAAAATAATAAAAGGCGTTAGGCTATTCTTCTAATTTATAGTTTGGGTACGCGTGATAGAGCTCACTTGGCTTCTGCCAACTTTAGTCACCTGTAGCGTAGGCAGGTCTATCTGCCAATCAAAAGGCGAGTGAACGGATTAGTACTTTGCTCCATGTTATTTTATGATTATGAAGAAAAGGTCTTTAAAAATAGGGGATATTCTTACACTACTAGTATTTAATATCTTGGGAGCAATACTTGCATATATTGGGCTCAATAAGTGAGCACAACGTTGAAGTCAGATGCAAGGTACTCAACAAAAATAAAAAATCTGAAACGATATGAGAGGTTTTTGGTTTGTCCTATCAAGTCGTATCATCAAATGTTACAACTTAAATGTGGCTTCGATCAAAATTTACAAGTTCGTGTACTTTGATTATTGAGTTGCATTATCATCTGAGATAAATACTATTTGATGCAGTATCTCAAAACGTCATCTCATTTGAATCATACAGTATTACCGAAACCATTTGTATATCAAAGTATTTTACAAAACAAAAGTTATAGTAAGTTATAAATTAATCCAAGATATTCTGAAGAAAGCCAGAAATGAAAACAGAACTGAATAATAAAACAACATTCGAGTTTCGGTGTGAACATCAACTCTAGGATGGAGGTACATCCATCTGACGAGTCCAAGGTAAGACGAAACGGAAGTCCTGAATTCCACTCCTAACCACCATCCATCTATATTCATAAAATAACATTAGTTAAGAAAAGTTTTATTAATATTCAATGAATTTACCTCTTGAGGTAGTACCACCATTATTCGTATATACTTGATTAGTTATTTGTGCTGGATTGAAAGCAATAAGGCATAAAGCAGCAACGCATAGAGTAGTTCGGGCTATCACTTCATTATAACCACCACCAATCGGATGATTTTGTTGATTTACAATAACATTTGGCATATTAGCTTTTGTTAACATAGGTGTATGTGAACATGAATTTGTTTCACATAATAACTGACATACAGTAGGGAACTGTGCCTGTATAGTATTATTTCTATTAGCATTACCATTATTATTATTGTTATTATTATTATTATAAATGTTGTTTGTTGAAATTAAGTTGAATTTCTCTTTTACATGTGGGACAGTTAGTTTTTTTACTTCCAAGTCATGATTAACTAGTAGATGGCCACATCTTGCCTTGGTCGGAGTAAACGATGCTCCTCGTCCTCCACCACCATTAGAATCATCGGCTGAAAGTAGAAGATAAAAGCAGTATAAATATATATATGACAGAGAGCAATGGGTGAATACCACCACGTGACATTTGGTTACCAAGTTGTAATGAGTTTATTTACACTTAACAGATAAACTATTTCAATAAACATATACAAATATGATTTTATATTAAAATCACGCCAGACAGTGACCAAATTTAATATGTACATGTATATAATATAAACAAAACAACATAGAAAGTTAAGAAGATATTTTGGTTAGTCAATAAATGACCTAATTTCTAACTTAAGGTCGAAAGAATATGAATCGTTAAGAAAGAAAAATAAATATTTAACATTTATGCATAAATTCAGTGTTAACAAAATAAAATGATCTGAAGTAAACAACATTTTTTTCAACATCAATATGATATTAATACTTGTCTAAATGTTTAGAGTGGAAATGAGTGAGATAAATAACAATCTGGTTTTTTGCAATCGACTGATATTCTATTCCATTTAGATGTTACGATTTATACAAATTGATATTCGGCACATTTGCATTAACTTAGAAGACATTTTATTTACTGTACTCACTTTTCAAATTTGTAGTATTTAAAAGGATCTAAAAGCAATTATTGAACAGTGTGAGTATAGGGTTCAACTTTACAGAAACTTAACAATCGATATTTAAAGACATGAAGTTCTTAAAGTTTCCGAGTGATCAAATTTAGATAAATAAAATGTCTACGGATTATAAGAACAATATTATCAAATCTAGCCGAATATACGCACAATAAACTGGGCAAATCAAATCAGTCTTATTATGTCTCAAGATTGGATGGTAAGTGGAAGGCAACCATGAAATTGTCGTAATTGAATTAGCTAACTGGTCAAGTCCCTATCCGTTTACCTTTGATAACATATAAGCTATAAGCTTTCTCATTCGGTATCCTAATACGGCGTTCTACACAATCTTATTTCTTTCCTCTATCCATCCGAATTAATAAAGAGTTTGGACAATGTGCAGTATTTGATAAGGACTTTAGATCACAACAATTTAATGCCAAATATTGTCAAAAATGTTTAACGAACTTCTGTATAACCCCATGTCAGTACTACTGGGTAGGGTCTATTAAAAAAATCAAATCAAACAGATAATTATATTATTCAAACTGTTTTAAAGAACTCAATCAAACCACTAAACTATCCGTACAAATGAAGGGCATTGATGAATATTATATATATACTTAACTAATGTGTCTTGATGTTGAGCGAATACAGAAGTGCACATTAACAGTGCTCTGTATAAAAACGATCATCAAGTATATATTATACAAATTAATGGCCACCTTCAGGTATGGAGCTACGCTTTGTACACTCATCTTGTAATTCTAAACAGCAATTTCTAGCTTACTGAACTCCATTAAATTTTATCACATGAAACGTGAAATAGTTGCTGGGTTGGTTAAATGTTAATGTTTTTAGGTATTGTTTACAGACTATATATATTCCCTTCAAACAGCAGTTAATTTGTATTTACTAAGATTTAAGCTAGTTGATATGAATCAGTTTCGTGATGAGCACAAAAGACTGATGATAAATAATCAGTCTTTGTTTTATGCTTGATTAATGTTTAATAAGAATACTACAAAAACACCCCACACTAATAATATGGTATACGACTGAAAAATATTAGTTAAATATTGAAATAAATTTGTTTGTGTAGGTGCATGGCCTAATTAACTGGATAGTTCAAGTTAGTGTAATTTATAAAAATACCAAAGAGGAACAATATGTGAAGAGAACATAAAAACAAGGCGAAGGATATAAGTGGATAGAGAAGAAACATATAGAGGAAGAAGGATATATAAATTTAAGTTGGTTGCGGGGAATAAATAACCAAGATTTGGTTAGTTATTCTCTGAGGAAGTGGCTTATACTGAGTCACAAAACGTCAGAAAATTTAACTTTTCTACTCATTGGGATATTACAAAGATATTATTTTTAATTATAACAATCTACCCAATGCTCGATCTATTTGAAATTATCAAGTCAAACCATGGTGATGATACCTATGGCACAGAATTGTTCGCAATGGCATCGGTACACTCACCCTTTAGCTTATTTTAAAACCTCAGTACTGAGTTCTCTTCATACCCTTTATTTCTTTTTCTGTACTTAAATTTTTCGACTACTACTCTGGAATTTATCTTAAAATAATTTTATTTCCTTGTGCTAGTGTGGCAATGGCAACTTAAACAGGTTATAAGTGAATGATCGATGTCTTATTCTGACCATATCTACAGGACTATTTCCCAACTTATTTCAGATGAAATTAGAAACTAACAATGGTGATGATAGATATACATAAACGTAATACATAGATTAGCCACGTCAATCATTGAAAACTGAAAAATTTATTGATCTAATTATTTCTTCATTTAAGAAGTATACGTTTTATCCCACAGCTGAACATGTGCATCCATATTTATTCAATTTATTTTCACACTTTGACCACAAAACAAGATACAAATGATGATGGCCACGCAATATCGTAAATTGACTGGAGTTACAAATGTACAGTGATGGAAACCAACTCAATGATTTGAAGGTTAATCACCCACTGCTAAGCCTGAGTTTTGTCTTCGGTTCTTGGTTGCGGATAATTAATTACTTGCTAACTCCTGTTACCCCTCGTGTAGGAGCATAAGCCGATCACCAGCATTCTCCATCCAGTTTTGTCCTGCGCAATCCTCTTCAGTTGCAGCTATAATTCAATGACCTAGTTGATAAGACTTTGACCTCCTACATGATAGGTGTCAGACACAAGTCTCAGTGTAACTATAATCTCTGTGATGCAGGTAAATCGATCTGATTTTTATTGGAAAGAAATACAAGTATTGGACTTCACTGGTAAACATTGTTTAAAATATTGAATCCTAGATAGCTTGTTTTCAAAATTTCATACTATTTAGAGGGACGCTTAATTTAGTTACGTACAGTGCTAAAATAACATGGACTAACCCACATTTGATTATATGTTGTAAATACAAATAATATTCTATCTAACAATTCTCATCACTTATCAGAAATTAAGATCTTTTTCTCACTTAGTACATTATTTACATAACTCATTAAAAAAAATGATTAAAGTTTCTATTTATTGAATGTCAAATTGATGCAACAATAGGCCCCTTATTATGTGAATGGGTTCAACATTGTATTCAGGGTATAAAGTCGATCGAAGAAATTAACTTTGCAGTAAATCATAATTGAAATGATAGCTAAGATCAATAAACAAAGATTCTACACAAATTAAAACCTTTTTGAAACGTTAAAATAGATTGCTTTAATTGCTTTCTCATTGGAAAACATAGAATAAGAAAGTATTTCTTGATTAATCGGATTTCCATTTATTTATTTCAAATATGTCTGTTGATTTATTTGTTTACTTGTTGCGATTTTTAGATAATTCAAGAACTGGACAAAACTCCGATCTTGTTCAATTTAAATAATAAATAAATAGGGCTTAGACACTATAACATGAATTAGATTTTAATAGCCAGTAAGTTACCAGAGTACATCATAGTGTATATTTTATAAATCGGGAAGTCTTTTTGTTATAATCTCTTCTTACGGTTATGACGCAGCTATTCCTATTGCTTAGTATTCTCGGACACCGATTCACTAGACAAGTCCCCAAATCAGAACACGGTTGAACAGGAAAGAGATTATATTCCAAGTAACAAGGTTAGATGGAAGTAAGATGCCAGTAAGAAGCACAATAGGGAAAAACGTCAGTATATTTATAGTTTTTTACATGAGAAGATTCTAGAGTATTCTCCAACTATCGACTAGTGCTGATTGGATAAGAATTAGCCAATCGGCGTGCACCAAAGCAATCGCGCATTGAGCTTGCTTTAATCCAGTCTATGTTCCGCTAACACTTTTACTATACAGTATTTTATTACTTATAGTAAGCCAGTTAAAGTATTATGTATTTGTAATAAGTTGACAAAATACTGGTACTGTTACTGGTATGGTTATTCATTATGAGTGCGAAAAAACTGCTATTTGTTATTTATCATAACGGAATAAGACGACTCGATGTAAGACAGATGATAATACTGTAGAGATAAGGACTTATTTATGTACCAACAAATAATTGACAAATGAGTAAACAATTATATGGAAAATACACAAAATTATAAACGATTTACTTAACTGGTATAAGGTCAAATTAGACTAGAATGAACTGGCGATAACTGACATTGAGTCAATAATTTAAATTATGTATTCAATTTACAATACCAATAGAATAATTGTTCTAACCAATAAATATAACTGAATTAACGAGTTGTATTTTTGTTTCTTCCTGATATCTAACGCTCCAATAACAATTCTTAGGATTTTAACGAAGAAAAATGGATTACATTCACTTGGTATTGCTTACTTGAATCTTCTTATTGATGTTAAGGACTGCAATTGATCAGCCTCTCATTGGCGTATGTGCATACTGTGCATATTGTCTTAATTCACAAGCATTATAAGCAAAGATAGATAGTGGCGAACATCGAATAACTCTCATATATCCCAACCGTATTTTTATATTCTGCTAGTCTTATTACTCAGTCATAAGTAAACTTTACTTATGGATTGCTTTTATATAACTCAAAACTGAAGTTGTTTTTTTCTGTCTCAAAGTTGCGCGGTGTTTAAACTTATTTTTAAGATATATTATGAAAAATCCACCAATAAATAACTTTATTAAGACACGTAAAACTAGTTTTGTAAGTGAATATTCATGCATATTACATCTTAGATCTACTGGTCAGAGTATCAAACTGATAGTGTATCTGGAAATGTTCTGTTCTAAAAACTATTTCTACTGTCGTCGCCAATAATAGTATTCAACTTTGTGTGGAAATATTGTGCCGCCTATAACCAACTTGTTGAATCCACATAGGTTTGCAAATCTCTCACCATTTTCGTTTCTCTCTCTCCCAGTCTTTCCATGTCGTCCCATGATATCTTCATATCCAGTGTTATTCATTCCGACTTTGGCGTTTAGGTCGGCCATCAGGATGGTTAGGTCTTTTCCTGGACATTTCGCTATGATTGATTGCATCCTCTCATAGAACTGATCTTTATCGTCGTCGTTGCTATCATTGGTGGGTGCATAACATTGGATAACATTCATCATTATGCTTTGATAATCCTGGATCCATGAGATTCCCATACTATAAATGCATTTCATACTTGTTTGGGCAGCATCAGAACAGCTCCCTGAGTATGTGGCACATTTTCCTCTTCGTGACCGGAGTACAGCAGCATCTCTCCTGTACCTAACCCTTGTTGCAAAGCTTGGGTCTAATGGGTTTCGCTGATTCCGAAACCACCAAATTGTACCGTCTCAATTCCGTTGCTATTTCACTGGTCCTCCCAGTCTGCCACAGTGTCCGGACATTCCATGTATCTACAGAAATTGTTACTCTGATTGTTAGAAAGGGCATCGGTCTCGTGGCTTCCGAAGGATCTCGGTTTTCATCATGAGGCGTCATAATTCTTTCTTCAACTCTGAAAGCAGAGTTTAAATGATTTAATTTGTTTATTCTGGTTAGCGTTTTTTTAAAAAGGTTGTTTTCTACGGGATGGGGTTGCTGACACCACGTCCAACCCTACTCCATTGCCCGAGATTGGGACCGGCAGTAGCCCTAGAAGAGTTACAGAAGGAGTTGGTTGTGGATACGCATTGCTATAAACTCCCATACTGGAATAAAACAGCTATCCATTACTTTCTGATTTTCAATAATTATCTAATTAAATTCAGTCTGTGATGTCCAACTTCATAAGAGATACAACTAAATACATTTAGTAATGAACAATAAAAGATTTAAAAACTCTTTGAATTTTAAACAAACCTAAACGTTTACGATGAACTTTACGAGTACAATCATCTTTCATCATCACTGATTGTTCAGGTAAAATAACAGTTGAATGTGGTGTACAGAATAATTGTTGCGATCCATAAGAATTTTGAGTGGTTGACGATTGTAGTAAAGAGGTCGATGATAATGGATGATAATATTGATATTGTTGATGGGTTGGTAAATTCTCATTATTAATACAATTATTATCATATAAATCATGATGTTGTAAAATAAATGATGGAATGACAATGCCGTTAGATATTCCTAGTGGTGGTGATGATGACAATGATGATGGTGGTGAAACAGAATATTGTGAATTAGTAATAAACTTGATATCATTATTTAATTGGAAATTAGGCGGCGAATTAAGTGATGGCGGTGATGATAATGAAGATGATGATGCAGAAGATAACGAAGATGAATGAAATGAATTAGAATATTCTTTCATTTTTTTTACTGATACTTCTTTTCCATTTGAATTATACGGTGATAAATTTGTTGGTTGATTAGATTTACCTGTAAAATGAAATACCTGATTAATTGATGATGGTATACATTCACTGGAAAAACTTTGTGGAGAAGTTTTACATTGATGATAATAATCATTCATTTTTTGATTGTCTAGAGATGGTGATGTTTCAAATGATAGTAACTCGTTTTCGGATGTACTTTCTGCAAGGAAAATACAAAATATGTGGTTGAACACAAATAACACTGATTAAGTAATGTAAATTTCTATCAAAACTTTTATGTATTAATCATTCTTTTAGTGCATTCTTTAAAAAAAACTTAACACAGTGTGTGTAGAGAAGTGTATATGATAAACTGACAAACTGCTTACATTTTAGGTTATCACTTCAAATATTTTTTCTGGTTAGCTTCGGGAATCGGAGGCAGAGGTTAAAAGGGTGAATAGCAATTGGAAAGTACTGGGAAGGAGAGCCCAAGACAGAGTTGGTTAAAGAATCCCGGTCGACGGCCTGTGCTTCCACGAGAGTCAACAGGAGTAAGTCACTTCAAATATACATTTGAAGAGACAGCGAATCAATTAATTCGATTTCGCTTTAGAAATAACGGTTACAAACGCAGCCAGGTATAACATTGAAACATTCTATTAATCATCGTTTGATTTTACGGAAATGATGGTATCCGAACAGAGACAGATATTGATTGATTAATTCAAAGTGATTTTAATTTTATGAGGTGTAGAGCAGAAACAGTTACTAGTGTTACAGACTCAATTGTGTACGTGAACTCATGCTATGATGCATTCAAAAGGAAATTATTGTTTCATTTTCAAGCAAACAGTTCAAAGAATAACATCGAAATAAAAGGTAATTTTTATGTGTAATTTTTCGAAAAATAAGACTCGAACTAGCTTGTGGATTTTTAAATTAATATTTTGAAGTTTTTGGACGGCTCATATGTAGATGAACTCGGTGCTTCAAAATTCAAATTTTCAACGACTAACTCTCGTTGTACTGACGTAGCATAACAACTAATAAATATTTGTGCCAGATTATTGCGTTGCTTATGAACAACCAACTGCATACAATATCAATTTGATTATTTATCTACTATTTATAAACTCTATGTAACACATGGCTCAGTCTCCTTAATGATCAATATTTATGTTGGCGTAAGAAAATAAGCTGGTTAATATTATGTGTACTTCGATTAGTAAAGAATAAGCCGATTACTGATGACTTTCATGCAGCTTCAGTGTTATCAATAATGAATAAGTTTTTGTATGCACAGTTGTTTACAAGCAACTACGAGAAATAATAATATTAAGAATTCTCATCTATAAAGTACCATATTTAGTAGGAAGGAACTATACTTTTATTTGAAGAGTTGTGTCTTAAATGAGAATATCTTAAAACTAGGATGAACTAAATATCTTCTAGAAACCATAGACAATGCATTCGAGTTCAAAGTGAACTATACGATCTATTTTACACAACCGATCCTGCCTATCAGTGCATAATATGATTATAACATGCTTAGACATTATTAGGGTCACTGCTGCTTACTATTAGAATCAACGTAGGATACGTTTGAGGCATTAGATGAACGGAAAGCCATTAACTCAGTATTCAATTGTGCGTTTCTTTCTTCAAGTTCACGAATACGATCGATCGCACGACGAAGAACAGCAGATTTATTCATCTACAGTAAATACAAAATAAAATAACATATTATATATCCAATTACTTTAAGCAAAGAAAATTTATTTAATTGACTCTGCGATGCGCTATATGTGTGACGGTTAGTGATACCACTACTCGGCTGCCCAAACTATATTAGGTGGGTTTGAAACTGATATCTAATGGTTGAAAAGTGAGTGTTGCAACCTTTGGCCCACCACTAATGTATATATTTAACTTCAGAAGTAATGTTTACACAAAAATAATGACCTGCTTGTAAGAAATATACTCAAAAGTGTAAGATAGCGGGCAAACAATGTTTATTCAAAGAAACACGGTAGAAAAATAATATAACTGAATGTAACAGTTAGTATAAACAATAAAAATGCGGTTGAAAAGTGTTACCATCCAATCCACAAAAATAGATGACACATTCGGATGAGCGGTGCAATTGCAGATTACTACTGGTCTAGACATTCAACCCATAATCATCGAGTGAAAATGTTCAAGTACTGACATTATTAGTTCCAGCATAAAATGTATTCAGCTTTATGCACAATTAATGGCCATTAATTAAGTTCTATGGTACACAATCATATTTTATCTGATTAACAATCCAACAGCCGGCTAGCATTTAGATAGATTCTTAACAACGAAAAATTCATAACTTACTTTAACATCAGTAGATGATGTAGGCGTTAGAAGCCTACGGAGTTCATCAATTTTCCCATTTATACTGGCACGATAACGTTTCTCAATAGCATTATGAGGTGCTCGTTTAATGGTTTCATGTTTTTGTTCACATTGCTCTACATTTACTTTGTTGTCTTAAAATAAACATGTAAAGAATACCGACTGGTCAATAAATACAGAAGCCAGAAGAGATTTTTAATACAATGTAGTGAGAAAACAAGTTACATGATTAAAAGTTATCAACCGCAGGCAATATTGAAGTTCGACGTATATACCATTAGGTCCCAGCTCAGTGTTCTAGCGGTTAAGTGTTTAGGCGTGAAGCCGGAGATAATGGCTTCGATCCACAGTGGGGTTGTGGATGAACACTGATAAGGACCCCCATACTAAGATGACACAAACATCTAGTGAGTCTTGGTTTTCAACGATGGTTTAGCTAATATCAGTTTGATTTGAATTACGAAAATTCTACAAACTCCATGACCCCATTATGTTAAAACATCATTAACGAGAAATGTTTTGAAGGCCAAAACATGTGCTTCGGATCGGATCGGTCTAATGGGTAATCAAAAAACAAGAGTAGTATTACTAGGAGTTAATTTACGTACAGTGGAAGTCAGAGCAGCTTAAGTCAACCTGGATCATTTCTAGAGTTATCGTGATGTTTGTCTGGTTGTAAAAGCCTGGTGATACAACACATCGGTAATAATTCAGCTCAATACTATCGAAACTAAACTTCTCCGAGTTCAGGATACTTGGAGACTTTTTGTAGTCAATCACCATCGTTTGAAGAGGACTGTTAACATCTAGTGGTAGAAACATGTTAGTAATGCCAAGGTTTAACAGTGTGCGTTTGGACGCAGTGACGAAAATTCAACTGATTTCATTATCTTGAAACAGTGGCTTACATAACGTATTACTTGCCAGTGATAGAACTAGGTACAAAAATGGTGGTGGTAAGTTTGTGTTATAATTCTATGATATGAAAGGTCACTGTATAGACTGTCTATTGATTTATCATGATTTCCTGGTTAAGGTCACACAGCTCAGTGGGTTGAAACGTTGTCTTGCATGGATCAAGATATGAGTCCATGGCAATTTCGGCGTGCTTTGTTTTACCATATTCTTCATCAAATCAAGTAATTTTAGGTGAACGAGATTTATCTTACCTGCATTTTAAATTGAACAATATCTTTTACGGAACAATATTTTACACGTATCTTGTATACTTTTTTACACTATCTCATTTATTTATTGATTATTTAGTATGACTTTTACTGCTTCATAATATTATCAATGCATTCTATGTGGCACTTATTTTTAGTGCTCTTCTTACCAAAAACCACATATTACAAATAAATACCAATGGCAATACACATTCGACTTAATGTTTTATATCCAGTAGTCAGGAATTTCAAATGACATGACTCAAAATCCAAATCCTATGTATATGCATTAGTAGTTTAATTTTAATGAGTAGCTAGAAAATTAAGCCATGGAACGAAAATGCGTTGACTGCAAAAACTTAACCGAACAAAGTAACAGGAAGTTCCAAAGGGACTTGCTATGAAATTATTAAAATAACCAATGGCTAAACAGCGGGTGAGTACACTGAAAAAGATTTGAGTAGTCCTAGATGAGTTAGCCCTGTACTTTTAGGGCCTTACCATCGGCAACGAAAATAGGTGGGGTGTGCTATTTCTAGGGTCGACATTCTCAAACCTTCATTCCTTTATGAGAAGGCAGCATTGCTGCAGAAGCTGGTTGTCCGAGGAAAACGCCTTACTACCGTCACAATCTACAGTGGGCACCACGACTTCGCCTTCAAACCACAAGTCCGTATAATCGAAATTTCATCGATCATATCTCAAAAACGTCACATGGATGTTATGGTGAAAACATTGTAAAGCACAGCACTTTTAAAATGGAAAATATTAAGAAAGAGTGCCTGGAAAGAAAGTATTCATATATAAAGTTTATTCACTGTCTTTTGGGTCAGACCTTTAGGTTGAAGGCTCCGGGTGTGCCCCCCTAAGAAAACCACCTGCTTCGGTCTGAGCACTCGAGCAGTACCACAGCTCCACTTCGAGTTGAGGATGTTAGACGACTCTCTTTGTTTGATCATCGTTGTCTCCGAAGGATTGCTGACATCCAGTGGCAACACTATGTTAGTAATGCAAACGTTCGGCATCGTGTGTTCGGTCACAGAGATGATAATCCAATTGGTGTCACCATCTTAAAACATCGACTTCGGTGGCTCGGACATGTTCTATGAATGTCGTCCCAGAGAATTCCACGTCGTGCATTATTTGCCGACTCTGGGACTGGTTGGAAGAAGCGAAGAGGTGGTCAGTGTATGACCTGGTGTCGTGGTATAAAAGAAAACTGCAAAGGGCTGGCTTGTGTTGGTCCTTCACGACTCTCTGGCTGGGGTCCGAGTGATGATGCGACACAGTGGCTAGAGACGGTATCAGATATGGCTCAGAAAAGAAGCCAGTGGCGATCCTGCTGTAACCTTCTTTTACTTTCTTCATAAAAAATGGTTGTATCTTCCTTAACTGAAAGATTTCTTCTGATTGTACCTTTTCGGTTCCCCATTATTACTATTACACTATCTTACACTAATCTGTTCGTTATTGTTCTTTTTTTCTCTTCGAATTTTTACTGTTTTGTGTGGTGCATATATATTTGGTGCCCTCTTGTACCAATATTTGTGTTCAAATAAATAAATCACACACAAATCAAATGACTTCTGTAGCGCATATGTATTCGGTGCCCCTATATATCAATATTTATGCGTTCAAATAAATAAATCAAAAAAACAGAACCTGGTAAATACGTGGGTCGGTTCAAGGTACGGCACCACATCAGGGCAGAACAAAATTGTAAAAATGAACAATAATCTAAAGACATTTACCTTCTTCATTCTTGTTGCTCACAAAGTGTGTCTTTTCAGCACCTGAGCTGCTCGAAGAGTATTGAATGGCACATGACCTACTTGAGTCTACCCCGTTTTTATTAAGATTTTGGATTTCAGAATCGCATAATAGCCTGGATATTAGTGGTACTTCATATGTACGTTGAATGGGTGCACAAACATGACCATCTGCCTTTACTTGAGGGAATGTAGAACGATGGACAGGTGGAATTTCCCAAGAGAAATTTTGTTTGTTATGTTCATTTTCCCATAATTGCAGCCCTAAAAGAATCATGTCATGAAGTTAATTGGTTTAACCTGTATTTGTTGTAGAAACGTCTGAAGTTGGTTCAGACTTCAGAAGTGATTCTAAAGTCGTCTTTTCAGACCGACTAGAGATAACTTCATCATCCATATTTTTCGCATCAGGGCTATCCAAAAATGTAGACACATCGAAAGAGAAATCGTTTACATCGATTCCATCCAAAAAACTTTCGGAAATGTCATTAAACAACGGATCGTTAAAGATCTGCGACAAAGTCACTGAATGCAAACAGATTATCTATTTGTATGTAGTTACCTGGCTCCATGGTTGACACCGAAGAACAGCTCCCATCCAAATTGCCACGCACTTAATCTACCCAGTTATAGGTTTGATGACCACAGAAACTGAAGAACTGGTGCTTGGGAGAGATTAATGGATAAGCTAGGGTGCTGAAAAAGTATTGATAACACAAGTTTAGTTGATATGTATTTAAGTGGGGAGAACATGCAAGGAAACAGATGATCAATAATCAGGGGATCACTTGCACAGTAGTTAGTAAATTTGCAGGTGATAAGTAATGGTCCAGGTTTACAGGTGATCATGTAGGTTGCAAAAATTCAACCATGTTCAATCTTGATTCCCGTAAACGAGTCAACCCGTATGTGAAAGCTGAATTGTTTTGTGATGCTTTTAGACCTATTAGCTACCGCTAACATGTTCATCTGTACAGCATTAATAGGAAAACAGTTTATCATTGGGACCAACCACTTTTCACTTGATGGGACATATTTACAGGCGGCAGTTAACGGCGAAACTATGATTTAAGAACGAACCAAATAGATTTAGGATAACAGGTTTTGGAATTCGACAAGAAATTCACTTATCCATCTGCCTAAATGGTGTTTTTGCTGACCATAGCAAGTAGGTGAACATTGCTAAGGTCACTTCAGCGTCGCTCAAAGGTCGTCCATAAATTAGTTTCACCTAGCGAACTCCTAAAGTTTATAAAAAGATTTATTTAACGTCGGTTCTCTACAAATTACTGGATAAAACTAATGTTCTAAGGCAAGAAAACTATAAGCTTATCGACTTAACATCTGAGATGTCTTAGACAAGGTATGACAGCTACACATAAATGGTTTTCTGGTCCTCGAGATCTTTAGGTCATGTTTAATCTAATTTCATGATGAAGGCTGAGAGCAGCCAAATACTGAGCTTTTCTATGGGCCGGACGGTAGTTTGGCCAAAATTATGAGGCAAACTTGAAGCTTTCACGGTCGTTCATTCATAGCTAACGTAGAGTCCGACACAAATATGAGTCAACCCAAGCCCCTATACCACATTGGGATAACTAAGTAAAAATAACAAGGTGAATAGTAAAGAAGAAAAAAATGAGGCAGTAATGATAGTACGAAAGTCCTTATGCTGTCATAACTGTGCAATCCTTAAATTCTACTAAATTATTACACTTTAGCCAGCAATCCTGGTGACTAAACTTGACACCAGTGACCGTCATCTCTCACTGGACAATACATTGATATACTAAGTAGATCTAGCCAGTCAACTTGAAAAGATAGGTGAATAACGGATCTGTTTTGTCATATGATGTAGAATAAGGCTGAGTAAGTTGGACCATTATTATTGGTGTTATTATTGTTGGACTCTTCTCCCCAATATAGTTGACATGGAAGCATATATTTATTTGAGATTTACCAACCATCAACTGGAGGCAAAACTTTGACTTCATATCCCTTGCAGTACACACTGGATATCTTAACATTAGAAAGACGGGGCCACTGTCTTGCAACTTTATCAATAATTGAAAAAGAAATGTTGATTCGACTCAACATATGTCTGTAGAACAATGTAACAGTGAATTAATGAATGTATAATGAGGTGTTCTAAGTCAAAATAACTTATGAAAAACTAAACAATGTTCTATGATATTAAACCAGCCCTGGATGTTATGCTTTGGTCGCTTATTACGCAATATGAACTAACCTAACTTGTTAGTGATTCTATGATTTTGAACTTTTCTAAGTGTCTATATATAAGTATGGCCACTACGCATTATCTTAGTTTGATGATCCAGGTGATGCAGAAGGCCCATAAGATGTTGATCGAAAAGGAACGAAATAATATTAAATAAATATCACGGTAATAATTATTGTTTGAAAGTCTGACAATGATTGGACAATGCATAGACATACCCTCAGTTATTTGGTTTATCGAGTGACTTTCCAAACTCCCGCGGATATTCAGTTCCCAATACCAGTTTTAATTGTGATGAGCGGAAAATTAAAACGGTGTTTCTGTAACAGTATTAGAAATCATTACATATGACGTTACTAATGTGAGTTTGTTTTCCTTATTGCGGGGAAACAAAGAGTGAATGTACTAGAAGAAGAGGAATAAGGTTTACGCAAGCTGAACCTGCAGAACAATGAATAAACCCATTTTGTAATAAGCTTCCCTTTTTGTACTCGAACCGCGTCTTTCGACTTTTAAATATCTCTCTGTTGTGCCAGTACGCCGGGTTCTCACTTCAGAGGCAGTTACCAGTTCTGACTGTTGTATTGTTGTTTTAGATCGTTCCTGCTTTCGAATAAACACTAATTCAACGTGCTACATTTCGATTTTCGGTAGCGAATGTTTTGCAGGATTTATTAAGGATACATAGTATTGAGGCAAAGTACAGTTTTCAATCTGCTTAAACCCTATTCATTATGAATGCTATCCAATTTGCCATTATCGACAGTATATCCCATGAGAGTGGAACGTGTAAATTAGTTAGTTGCCTCTCGAAATGCAAGGGACAAGATCTGCTGCTTGGTTTGATCTGTCACAGTCAAAGCTGTGGTATAAATGAGGTCCTGCTAAGTAGTCTCAATACTTGGTCACAAAGTTGTAGATGCCTAATCCTAGGGGACTTTAATGCACCAATGGTAGACTGGAGATATCTACGAACCGGATTGTCAGGTAATTCCTTCGAGCAGGAACTACCTGATGTGGTTATCACATGTGCCCTAGTGCAACATGTGAAAGAAGCGACTAGATACGAACTAGACTCCGAATCATCCTTAGTAGATCTTATGTTGACTCACTATGAGGATGACGTTACGAACCTCGACTGTATGCTACCCCTAGGTAAAAGTGATCATGTAGTTCTAACCTTCGACTAGTATATAATTGTCGAACACGAGCATGTGTTAGCTCAATCCAGATCTAACGTCTGGAAAGCAAACATACGATATATCATGCACTCAGCATCGTCGGTAGATTGGACAACAGACTCAGAGTCCTCAATTGAAACGGTATAGGACGTATTTCGAAATTTATACCTCCATATTCCTTGAACTACACCAAGAGGGCCGTGAAACTCTCCACTATGGTTCAGTAGGGAGGTTCGCATCCTTCGTAAGAGAAGAAACATTTGGGGTAGATTTAGGTATATGGGGAATGATGAGACGAAATCTCAGTATGGAAAAACTCGGAATACCTGTACCTCGACCCTACGTAAGTCTAGAAAGTTGTACGAAGAAAAAATTGTTAAGGAATCCATAGAATTTCCTAAACGCTTGTATTCTTATAAAAACTAAAGGACAAACACAAGTGGAAATATTCCTACAATATGGAGAGACAGTACTGCCACATCATTACTGGAGGACAACTTTGGTGAGGCTAAAGTATTCTCAAATTACTTTGGAAATGTATATACCATAAAAAATCCTTTCCGTCAGTCTACATAAATCCCCCTACACAAACGCTGGACAGCGTGACCATTAAAGAACTCAATGTCTTTGTCCTGCTAAATAAGCTTGACATAGGCAAATCCACGGAGCCCAACGAATCGCATCCCATGCTACTTAAAGAATTATCTATCTTTGTTGCGAAGCCTTTAAGTATATGTTTTAATTTATCCCTAACCCAGGGTTGTTTACCCAAAGTCTGGAAGAACTCCATAGTAAGTCCTGTCTTCAAAACAGGTACGAAACATAAACCTGAGAATTACCGATTCGTTAGCCTGACTAATGTGGTTGTTAAAATCTTAGAAATGATTATTCGGAATGAGCTGTTTAAGTGCCTCGATAACAACCGTATCCTTTCAGAGAAACAGCATGGGTTTAAATTAGGTAAGTTTTGTCTCACTAACTTACTAGTGGCTCGTGAAAGCTGGTGCGCTCCTAAGGACCAAAAGTTACCTGTGGACGCAGCCTACATTGACTTCAGCAAAATTTTGACCAAGTCCCTCACACAATCTGTTATATAAGTTAAGAAATGCCAGGGTTGGAGGCAATATATTAATGTGGATAAAGGACTTCCCAGTTGAGTGCTAAAAAAGAGTAAGGGTTAGCTGTAAGTTGTCTAGCTGGAAAACTGTGTTTAGTGAAGTGCCTCAGGGTACAGTTTTGGGCCACTGTTATTCCTCTTGTATGTAAATGACATTCCTCGTCTCCTATCATCATCGGTTTTGCTATATGCTGACGATGTCAAGATATGAAGAATGATACGATGTAAGGATGAAAACTTAGAACTTCAAAATGATCTAGAGAAATTATTTGAATGGTCTCAAACCTGGCACTTGCTGATAAATACTTCAAAGTGTTTTATAGTGCATATTGATCATCAAGGTACAGATGCATGCATGATGAATAACACTGAGCTATCTATTGTCCAGACACACAATCACTAAGGGGTCATCGTTAGCCAAGAATAAGGACTACTGCACACTGCCGTGCAATAGACGCCAAAGGTTTTAGAACTTTATGGTCAATACGTAGGGTTTCAGTCATGCCGACGCCAAAGCCTTTTTGGCTTTGTGTACAGTGATCGGACGTCCTAAATTTGAGTACTACATACAAGCGGCTAGCCCCTGCTTTAAAAAAGACAGTGAACTTTTGGAAAAGGTTCAGAGAACAGCAACCAGGCTCACTCCCGGAATAGCGAAGCTCCTGCATGATGCTCGACTGGCCAAGCTAAAACTTTTCCCGTTGTTATATCGTAGAACTAGAGGCGACTTGATCACAGTTTTCAAATTGCTTGGTGATAAATTTGTACCTGATATGCCCTCATTTTTCTTGTCTTCCAAAACAGAAAATTTGCGAGGACACTTCAAAATAGTTCACAAGCCCAGAACAAATTACTTGTCAGCTGACTATCAACTTTCCCATCAAATCATCAACGAGTGGAATTCATTACTTCAGCAAGTGGTTGAGGCTCCATATGTCGACTCCCACAAAAGAAACTTTGATCAACTGAGGGACCACCATTGTATGGACTAACACGGGTCATCAAGCCTCCTGTCCTTTCCAAACTGAAACTGAAACTTCCGAACACCACAAAGTGCTTCTAATGGTTGTGTGCAGCATAAAAGAAGCCTTTGACTAACAGGCTCCCTTATCTGGTAGTAATGGATCGTCGATAACTAGTATGAACAAGTATGAACTTAGGTATTTTTGATAAGCAAAACAAGTAATAAATCATAATGAAATACTGCTCCAAATCTCTAAGATGGTATCAGATTTCTTCTTGAAAGACTCTTGGATATCGCTTGGACCACCTTAGCCAGCAGAATACTTTAGAATGTGACAACTTGCAAAAAGTATAAGGTGTGCCTACACTGCAGTTTGCTGTACTGTATCTACAGTTTTCAGAAGTCAGTATAGGAGGTCACTCGACCTATATTAATCTTGGCAATTTATACTACTATAAAGATCCCGTCTCGTTTTGAGCATATCAACAGAAAGTGATAATATTAAGTTTTCCAACAGAGAATTTGAGTAATTTACTACTCAGAGCGTGAAACAGAACTCCACACGTGAACGATTTGGTCTTAGTCTTTGAACTTTCTTAAAATGTCTCCTGGGAATATCCGTTCTATATGGAATGGAAAGTGGGATATTTCATTCCAATTCGCTTTTAATTTTAATCCTCAAATAGTGTGACCTGTCCGAATGCTTATGAATTCCTGTCTGTAAACGGGAATCATTGGCTCCAAACTACTCAATGGTTGAAGCCGATATCTGGAGAGAAGGAAAGGCATAGAAACTCTGTTCTTCTTAGATAGTGGTACCTTTTGTTGGGATAAAATATTCATAAGTTTGAGGGAGTGTTTTGGGAACCTCAACTTTTCAGCATAATAGATAAAGTTGTCAAGGTTAGTGTTTTCTGTGATACTTTGCATAATAACGTTTCTTCTTCAAGGGAAAGTCTCGTGAGAGTCTTTGGGGATTTTCCCGATGAAATCAGAGTATGCTGTGTCAGGCGGTATCCTTCTGGTTTCAGCAAAACATCTTCCACGTCAGCAGCACTAGTGAATGTTATGAGAAGGAATCTTTGGATGATTAGTGTGTCTGATACCCTTTCCTAGATAAGTCGTGTGATCTTTAGTAGTTAAATTCAGGACGTTTGAGCGCCTTGTTTAGGTTCTGCCAGAGAATTCTATTATTTTAGTCCTGGAAATTGAGACGAAGGTCATAGACGTCGGTTTTGAGGTTTGTAACTACTGTTTCTTCCTCCAGGGCACGTTTCGCGAAATCCTTTGTGGATGTTCCCTAAAAAGTCGGAATAATATAAGCATTAGTTACTAATGCAAGGAATAAATGAAAGTTAACGCACTGAGTACTGAGTATTTGCTGCGTCTTCATGTCAGAGATGTAGTAAAGTTCAGCTTATTATCACACCACACAAGTAGAGAGGATTATGAGTGTTAGGTTACACGATGACGACATTCCTTGCGGTCCTATTTTAGGGAAAAAAACATTATGTCAAAAGTTCAAAATACAACAAACGGTACAACCTATTCTTTACAGTCAACGGCTTCTCTGGCAAAAACGTACGTGCTAAATAGTAGTCAATAAACAAGTGCTCTATACCTGGAAATCAATAAAATATTCCCACCAGGATGGGACCAGATGTCTTTTTTCAAGGATTCCAGTAATTTTTCCAAGGAAACTGGCAAGGGATGACAATAATTTACCGAAACACACTGTGACCTTGAGTTTATTCAAACACGGCGTTATTGCCAATGGTACCGTGCAACAGTAAAATTAAGTAACAAATTAAGTAAAAAAGTCTAATAATTAAAGTTCAGACGGCTAAAACTGAAGAACATAAAATGCTGTTATGAGAGACTTGAATAAGTGTTAAAATACAAGACAAGGGAATAAACAAGTAAATGACAGTGCTGTCCGACAAAATGCTGTGGGTAGATTTCCAATATGTTATTTCTGCTAAAACTTTATCTTTCATTGTCGAGCG